ATAGCGTACTGAATTGAGTGTAGAATGATGTGTGTAGAATTTTTTGGAAATCGGGTTAGATCCCATATATATTTTGTGTACAATATTTGTGTACAATTTCTTAAAAATCGGTTTATGTTATACTGGTTTTAGACCCACCTTTAAGTATACCAATTGTCATATCTCGACTAGCTGAATCAATCTAGACATGTTTGTCCGTCCGTCTGTCCATTATAATTTGTAAACACGATACAGGCCACAGTTATGAACCAATCTTCACGAAATTTTGCATGTAGGATGGGTTCTGGCCAATGAAGACCCCTATTGTTTTTGGAAAAGATCGGTTAATATTTAGGGGAGGAAATGGACCAAAAACTTTATTTTTGTCGGTTTTTCTGGTCGCTCCAGAGGTCGCAATTATGGCCCAAACGCCGCGATTTTTTGCATGGAGAAGGGGATCTGGCCGGAAAATAAGCATGTCTGTTTTGATAAAGATGGGTCAATATTTAGCTTGTCAAATGGGTTCATAATTTTGTGTGTAAAATGACAAAATTTGTGTTCTATGGCATATATATTTACTCCTGAAGGACATAGACCCGAGATGTTGATAGTATATCCGTGAGGAGTGGTTGACCTTTAAATTGATATCAATTTTATTGTCGTGTGTACTAGGATGTGGGAGTTAGACTTAAATATTCACAGGTGCTTACGTATTCATATATTATTTAGCAATCCATTACACCACACTAGAGGACGGAAATATTTACGCTGATCGCTTTGAAATTTTCCCATAAGGATCCAGGCATGGTCAAGGACAATGCCTATAATTTTCGCTGATAATCAGATAATGATATTGGGATGAAGTGGCCCGAAAACTGAATCTTTTGTGTTTTTTTTTGAGTCGATCTACATGCCCAATTGAAAGCCGAACATCGTAACACAACCCACGCTGTAGGGAATCTGGTCAAGTAATTAGAAGGGCTGTACCGTGAATATTTGTAATATTTGTTGACCTCTAGTCGGTCAAGAGGGTGAAAATATTGTGAAATATTGCCCAAGCTCAGAATATAGAACCACACAATGTTAGATTTTCGTGGAAGTTGTGTAGGGTATCGTATGGTCGGCCCCGTCCGACTATACTGCTCCGCTCACTGGCTTAAAAAAATATTTTTGATTTTTTTTTCAAATTTCTTTCGATGAAAGTATTTGTTAGTCATTCTTCAAATATGTGACCCATTATTTTCTCACTTTTGTCGATCACAATTCCTTGTTTATTCTTTCTTCCATCCACAAGAAAACAATCAAATCCCTTGTTTCGGAACCAAATCGAAAAAAATTGTTTACATTTTCTAAGTAGCTGTGAAATTGACATGTTTATTTAACCAACTATGAAGGTTATAACTGCATTGCCGTCCACTAATGGTGGGTTAAACAGACAAGGCAGAACCAAAGCCAGGCAGGCAGGCAGCCCGCCAGCCAGCCGGCTATTCATTTGAGTTGTGTGACTTTTTTATGGGCTTTTTTTGTGAAGTTTTTGGGAATACATTGATTGTTTCGTGTCGTTGCTGGTTTTTATGGTTATATTCACAGCTGTCAATTTTCGGTTTGGAATTTGAAGACAAAGGAAAATAACAAAGTGGAAAATTTTGGGAGAGAAAATTAAAAAAAAAAATGTTTTTAATAAATCCACGCCTTGTGGATGGTCCCGAAAAAAAATAATTACTTACTTAGCTGGCTTGTGACAGAACTTTCGTTCCATAAGCCGAGCTTAAAAAAGATTTTTTTTTTCCAATTTTTTTCCAATTTGAAAGACCATATACGGCAATGTTGTCTTCCCCTTGGTCTTTCCATCTTATTCGTGGCCTTCCCCTTCTGTGTGAACCATCAGCTGGCTCGCTTTTATATGCCTTCTAGGCTGGGGCATCTTCATCCATTCTCACAACATGATCTAGCCAACGTAGTCGCTGCAGCTCAATACGTCTAACAATGTCGATGTCCGAGAATAGCTGGTACTAGCTGGTACCGTCAACGCAGATCGGTCCATAGATCTTTTGGAGAATTTTTCTCTCAAACACTTCAAGAACTGCCTCATCTGCTTGCGCAAGTACCCATGCTTCAGATCCATATAACAGCACGGGTAGTATCAGCGTCTTGTAGAGTGTGAGATTGGTCTGGCGGGAGGTGGCCTTTCTTTTGAGTTGTTTGCTCAGTATCGGTTGGCCATCACTATCCTTCTCCGAATTTCAAAACTGATGTCATTCGTTTTATTTATTGCGGTATATAAAAGGTATATAAAATCTTTGACTACCTCGAAGCTGTAGTTCTCAAGTTTCACAGTTGGTCCGAGTCTACTGGACGTCTTGCACGTTGATACCATCAGCTTCTCGCCGTTTACTGCCAGACCCACTTTGGCAGACTCCTTCTCAATTTGTTCAAAGGTGTCTGTTACCGCTCTCAATGTTCGACCCATTATGTCGATGTGATCGGCATAGGCGAGTAACATGTGTTGTTTGGTGTACAGAGTGCCATTTCTGTGCACCTTTTCCAGCAGGATGTTAAAAAGGTCACTCGACAAACTATCACCCTGTCTGAATTCTCGTTCGGTATTAAGGGGCTCCGAGAGGTCCTTTCCGATTTTAACTGCTGATCTTGTGCCTGTTAAAGTTATCCTGCATAGCTGAATTAATTTTGCAGGAATGCCAAACGCAGACATGGCTTTATACACCTCTGAGAGGATAGGACTGTCGAATGCGGCTTTATAGTCGACGAATAGGTGGACGAATTATAATCGACGAATAGGATTTGGCGCAGAGTGAAAATCTCGTCAATGGTGGATTTGCCAGGTCTGAAGCCGCATTGGCATGGTCCATTAATGTCATTGACCATTGGCTTCAATCGTTCACACAGCACACTGGATAGCACTTTATATGCGATGGGAAGGAGACTTATTCCTCTATAGTTGGCACATATCGTCTTGTCTCCTTTTTGTACACGGGACACAGGATGCTGAGGTTCTAATCATTGGGCATGCATTGCTCTAGCCAAATTGTACTATTCAGCTGGTACATGCTCCTTAACAGCATCTGACCACCAGTTTTGAATAGTTCGGCTTGTAATCCATCGGCTCCTGCTGCTTTATTGTTCTTGAGCCGATTGATTGCTATTCTGACTTCATCTTGGCTAGGTGGTATACCACTCTATACCGTCATCTCTTATTGGTTCTGAGGTATCCTCTTCACCGCTACTATTTGATACCAGAAGTTTTTCAAAATGCTCCTTCCAGATCCTCAGCACGCTGTCTGTATCTGTTACCGGGTTTCCTTCTTCATCTCTACAGGAGGATGTGCCTGCACCAAAGCCATCGGTTTGGTGCTTTACCAGTTGGTAGAATTTTCGGACTTCATTCTGACTCCTTTATATCTCGATTTGCTCACGCTCACGTTTTTCTTGTTCTTTCTTCTTTTTTCTGAAAATACGTTTCTCCTCTCTCGTTTTCTCCCGATAATATTCAATCATATTGCGCGTTGCTACTGTCCGCAGGGTTGCCCTATACGCTGCGTTTTTCATATCAGTAGCATTATGACACTCCATCGATTTCGTGGTGGTGGTCTGTGGTACCCAGGTGTTGCTTTTGCTGTAGTTTGTAGGGAGTGGACAATTCTCTGCCATTGTGCTTCTATATTATTATCGGGACAAGGGGTGCTTTCGTCAAGCAGTGGGGTAAGTTGAGCGGAGTAGGCTTCTGCTTTCTGTTGTTGCAGCTTTTCGACTTCGAATTTTCGTGTTACATTAGATCGCAATTTTGCTGCTACATTAAGGCGGGTGCTTACCTCGGCTGGCTCAAGGTAATGGTCCGAATGGATATTCGCTCCTCGGATCGAACGGACGTCTAAAACACTGGATGAATGTCTTCCGTCTATCACAACATGATCGATTTGATTTCTCGTTGTTCGATCGGGAGAAATCCAAGTGGCCTTGTGTATATCGATATGCTTGAATCTGGTGCTGCTAACTACCATGTTTTTTTGCTGCCGCGAAGTCAATCAACCTCATGCCGTTGTTGGATGTTTCTTCATGGAGGCTGAATTTTCCTACGGTGGGGCCATATATATTTTCCCTTCCGATTTTTGCATTAAAATCTCCTAGCAGAATTTTTAATGTCATGGCCAGGGCAACGATCATATGCTGTTTCTAGGCACTCGTAAAATATGTCTTTGGTCTGGTCATCTTTATCTTCGGTCGGAACATGGGCGCATATGAAACTGTTGTAGAAGAACTTCGCTTTTATATGGATTATAGAAATTCGCTCATCTACTGGAGTGCATCTGGAGACGAGGTATTTTATTCTCCTGTTAACCATAAATCCGCAGCCAAATTCACGTCTCGTTTCATGACAGCTATAATACAGGGCGTAATCATCTGATTTACTTACGCCAGTCACTTTCCATCGCATTTCCTGTAAGGCAATAATATCGGCTTACTGTACTTCTTGAGTACATCCGCCAAAGCGAACACTGCGCTTGTTCTGTACAAGGTGCGCACATTCCATGTGCAGATTCGCAGATCGTGGTCCTTTATACGTTTGCGGGGGTAGTCAACATTAGGCGGGTTTGGTTTCCGCTTTCTTTGCTTTTTCATAGTAGGGTCGGTTTTCCGAGTGTGGGCAACTAACCCGACGCCTCAACCCATGTTTTTATAGTTCTTATGGGTGAACTCGCGGCATATATTCACTATTTCATCGGGTGATGAAAATAGCTAACCCAGGTGGCACCGCGGGGAGGTCAGTGTCCAAAATTGAGATGAAAGATAAGCCAGGACCTCGCCATGTTAAAGCCCATTAGAGCCGTTGCTTGGTAGCTATCATCCCCTACGCCACCCAAAAATATATTTCTTAATAAATCCACACCTTGTAGATGGTCCCCAAAAATTATTTTTTAATAAATCTATGTCTCAGATACCCTTGAAAATATTTTTAAAAATTATTTTTTTTCTCCTTCCACATTTTTTCTAGTTAGTTTAAAATGTTCCCCAAATATCTGAAATTTTTTGTGGGCCTCATATGTACTCTGTCGTGTCCGGTATATGCCATAGCCCATGCTCAACTGGATCTGCCACCCTTACCCACCCCAAGGCCAGAGATATTCTACAATGGCTACACCGTATCCACAACTCCCGCCCAGGCCTTGGGTGATTTAGATCGAGATCAACGATTCGGTCCACCATATGCGGATGATGGCAATAATGATGATGGCTCGGATGATTTTAGGGTAAGCCAGCCTTCTCTCCCCACAATTTGTCTTCCAGAAAAAAATTAAAACCAAAATCACACTTCCAGAATGGTCAAACCTATGATGAGCGAATGCGTTACGGTTTCAATTATCGTTCGAATTTCACCTTCCCCTCGGATTCACCGTTTAGCGATAAAAATGTCTACAATACCCAAACTCTGCAAAATGATCGTTATGGTAATCGGAATTATGATAACAACCTTCTGAATCATCAAACCTACAACGATCGCTATGGTCAGAATGCCCTGAATTTGGCCAATCAGCTGCAACAACAACAACAGCAGCAGCAACAACAAAATAATCGTTATAATTATGCCAACAATAACAACAACTACAACAATAATGGAAATTTGGGTGGACTTGGTGTCACACCCCAGCCACCCAGTATTTTCAATAATCCCTCGACGACGCCGAGCTACAATCCGGTTACCCCACCCTCGTACAACAATCCATCCACCCCTACAGCTTTTAATCCACCTGTGACCACCTATAATCCGAATAATCCAAATAATCGTTTTCCGGAGGACCCTAATCGCTTTCAAAATCCCTATGATCCGAATCAGGATCGTTTCAATTTAAATCAACAATTCTTCGATCAACGTCAGCGATTTCAAAGTGATCGCCGTTATCAAATCGAATTGGAGCGGTTAAGGAATTTATTGGTTGAAACGGATCAGCAGGGATCGCAAGAGTGTACCGCCAATGTGGCGGCCCAGTGGAATTTCGAGACGAACGTAAATGAATTTACGCAGACGGAGGCGGTAAGTTAAGGGGAAATATTCTTTGAAATAGTCATTAAAAATCAGTGGCTTACAGAAGCCCTGAAAAATATTCTTTAAAAATTAGACGCTTACAGAAGTTCCGGAAAAATAGTCTTTAAAAAATCATAGGCTTAAGAAGCCCCGGAAAACAGTCTTTAAAAATCAGAGGCTTACAGAAGCCCCGGAAAACAGTCTTTAAAAATCAGAGGCTTACAGAAGTCCCGGAAAACAGTCTTTAAAAATAAGAGGCTTACAGAAGCCCTGAAAAAATACTCTTTAAAAATCTGAGGCTTACAGAAGCCCCGGAAAAACAGTCTTTAAAAATCAGAAGCTTACAGAAGCTCTGAAGAAATACTCTTTAAAAATCTGAGACTTACTGAAGCCCCGGAAAAAACAGGCTTTAAAAAATATGAGGCTTACAGAAGCTCTGGAAAAATAATCTTTAAAAATCAGAGGGTAACAGAAGCCCTGAAAAAATACTCTTTAAAAATCTGAGGCTTACAGAAGCTCTGGAAAAATAGTCTTTAAAAATCAGAGGCTTACAGAAGCCCCGGAAAAACAGTCTTTAAAAATCAGAGGCTTACAGAAGCCCCGGAAAACAGTCTTTAAAAATCAGAGGCTTACAGAAGCCCCGGAAAAACAGTCTTTAAAAATCAGAGGCTTACAGAAGCCCCCGAAAAACAGTCTTTAAAAATCAGAGGCTTCAGAAGCCCTCTAAAAAATCCACGCCTTAGGTCTGCCTCTAAAAAATATTCTTTAAAAAATCCACGCCTTAGGTTGGCCTCTAAAAAATATTCTTTAAAAAATCCACGCCTTAGGTTGGCCTCTAAAAAATATTCTTTAAAAAATCCACGCCTTAGGTTGGCCTCTCGAAAAATATTCTTTAAAAAATCCACGCCTTGTGGTGGCCTCTAAAAAATATTCTTTAAAAAATCCACGCCTTGTGGTGGCCTCTAAAAAATATTCTTTAAAAAATCCACGCCTTGTGGTGGCCTCTAAAAAATATTCTGTAAAAAATCCATGCCTTGTGGTGGCCTCTAAAAATATTCTGTAAAAAATCCATGCCTTGTGGTGGCCTCTAAAAAATATTCTTTAAAAAATCCACGCCTTAGGTCGGCCTCTAAAAAATATTCTTTAAAAAATCCACGCCTTAGGTCGGCCTCTAAAAAATATTCCTTAAAAAATCCACGCCTTGTTGTGGCCTGGCCTTAGGTTGGCCTCTCGAAAAATATTCTTTAAAAAATCCACGCCTTAGGTCGGCCTCTAAAAAATATTCTTTAAAAAATCTCGAAAAATATTCTTTAAAAAATCCACGCCTTAGGTCGGCCTCTAAAAAATATTCTTTAAAAAATCACGCCTTAGGTCGGCCTCTAAAAAATATTCTTCAAAAAATCCACGCCTTAGGTCGGCCTCTGAAAAATATTCTTTAAAAAATCCACGCCTTATAGAAGCCCTGCAAATTATTCTTTAAAAAAATCCACGGCTTATGGTAGGTTTCAGACTCGTTATTTAGTTCGTTGCCATGTTAAAAATTTTCTCCAAGGTCACACCAATGATTTTTCTTTGTGACTCCCCACACACTCACGCAAACCAATCTACCTCGATAATTTCTTGACATTGGAATACCATAAAAAATAAATTCTGAAAACCAACAAAATATTTTCAACAATACCTAAATTCTCCAACCCGCCACAACAACTGCTTTACCCTTTGATTAAACCTAACCTTGAGACCTGAGAATTTTCAATTTAGTTTTTTTTTTGTCAAGATTCTTAACAGGCTGCAGATTACATGAGACTTTTACTAATTTTCGTATTTAATTTTTGTTGTTGTTGTATTTTTATGAGAAATTGTAAAAACGCTTTTGTGATTTGCCTGCAACACGCAAATGAATCATAGAAGCGAACAAAAAAATATTGAAATTCAAAATGTATTAGATTTCATTTGATAACTTTTACTAACCTGCGGAATGATGAATGCTTTACATTTCCTATTTCAAATCTGTAATTAATTATTAATTATGTATGAGTAATATAACCGCACAACTCATCATGAATGAGACATGCATAGATATTGCGATCACACCCTTTTTTAATAAAAAATAAAATAAAAATTGTAATTCAAGCGGAAAACCTTTTACAAAATACTTGGAGTCTGAGACATATATCGGAATAGACTCCACCTAGTCTTAGTTTAAAAATTCTACGCTTCAGGATATTTTTGAAACCGAATAGACCATGTGATTCTTCAGGCATTTGCCTATTAAACTTTCTGACTAGCTAAATCCCGATGTTGATAAATATTTCGTGACAATTATGCGATAGTTTCTAGACCAATAGAGAGCCTGAAGGTCAAATTAAAATAGAGAAACTCAATATTATGAGTTTCATTGCTCTAATGAAATTAAAATTATTCGATCGATATTTCAATTATATATTTTTTTAAAACATATTAATTAAGAACTACTTAAACTTGTCTAACTTAGACTAATCGAAGACACAGCATATTTATCTCACCTAAAATGTAGGGTTGTTCTAGTTCAAACTATTCCGGAAAAGGAGCGATCGGTACTAGGTCCGCTTCTTTTGTTCATCTAGTTCCTTTTGCTTCGGTCATTACTTTTTTGCTCTCGTCTGCCTAGCTCCTTGTTATTCAATCGTTCATTTAGACCATCTCGTCCACTGAGTGCATTAATTGGCGTATATACCAATGAATGATGGAACTAAAAGGAACTATGTGACTAAATGAATCGAATAAGATCGAACAACTTTAGGAACGAAATTGAACAACTCTACACTATATACCATATATATATAACGTCAATATTTTGGTACCTCCGATGTTAGTACATCAGACGGTAATATTCGTCGTATAGGATTTCTTCGTCACGCAGCTTCAGGTATTTTCTTTTAAGGATAAAGGATAGTTTTTAATTATATTATATGTCTTTTAGCGGAACGAACCGAAGCAGATCGATACGCTTCAGCAACGAGGTTACCCATCTCTAGTACTAAAACCAGTAAGGAAAGTAGTAATGTCGGACTGGGCCGACTATATGATACCCTTCACCACATAGGGTATATTCTACATATTGACATAAAATTGAACGAACTTAAATCTAACCCGATTTTTTCGAAACTTTACACACGAGATATGGTAGGGAGAGATTTCCATCTCAAAGCACGAAAATTCCAATGAACATGCAGAACAACAACAAAATTCTGTAAATACACTTGTCATGAGCGAACAAATATATAAAAAAGGTTGTTAGTAGTTATAGTAACTACAGTACATTGTACGAAATTGTGTGCCGGTCGGCCAAACTTTAGGTCTTTAGTACACAATTTATATTAAATCGGACGAAAATATATATATAAAGAAATTTGAAAACAGCTATGTGATCGCATCTAGGTACCACCGGCATCTCTCCAACCAGCTTCTCCTAATGGTTCCTCCACGTTTGTCTGCCGGCTTCTTCTTCCAGCCTGAACCATTGGCTATATTCTTCATCAGCATCTCGGAATTTTCGACCTCTCGCCTCATCTTTAAGGCTGGACCATCGGCCATTCTCTTCTTCAGCTTCCCACCGGCCACGTCTTTCATCAGCTGCTCGCTACAGTTGATCGCCTTCATAAAGCCATTATCCATGGCGGCCAAAGTCTTTGCTTTTGTCTGCTCAATTCCTTCTACATTATTGGCAACAAAATCTTCTTTTGATTGGTCATCTTTGTCCACAGGCTCAAACTTCCCGGCCGCTTTACCAGGATTTATAGCTGCAATCTTCATGACCGGTACATCTATAATTAACGGCCTTTGCATACAAACCCAATCATCTTGTTTTGTCAATTCATCATCATTGTCCGCCTGCTTCATCTCCGCACCATAATAATCAACTGACGGCTCACACTTCACAGGCATTTTTTCCGGATTGACATCTTCTTGTAATCTCTTCCGCATCCTTTGAAATAGCTCCTCTGTGGCTATTTCATATCGTTTATTCAGTTCTTTACTTTTTTCCAGAATATCTCTTTTCTTCGGATAGTAAATCCAAATATGAAGCCAAGCGCCTTCTAGAATTGCACTTTGCTTGTCCCAGTCGTCCACCAAACACTCCAACAAATCCATATTAATTTCTAATCTCATTTCCTTGAGACTTCTTTCAAATGTGTGGATCTTAAACTATACAAAGTTTGAAAGCCTTCTATCCTCTTCGGCCGGTGCCGAGCTATCTGCCGATTCGTCCTCCAGGGAATATGGCTCCATAGCCGCATCCCTTTTGTCTGATGCCCTTTTGCCCAGAATTGAGACCCGCTCGGTGTTTTGGCTCGCTGTCACCTATGTCTTCCTTGCCGCAGTCTCCTTTTGACCCAGCATGTTGAAGGTTTGCAATGTACCGCCTCGTACTTCCACTGCATCTCCTTCTTCTCCTCTGCTACGGAAATGATGTCTCGCATTCACCGCCTTGTTCCTTGCCGCAGTCTCCTTTTGACTCAGCATTTTATTTTTCCAATTTTTTTTTCTTTCTGTGGATTTTTCACCAAGCTGACAGAATTTCCTTCTTCAGCATATCTTTCTTTACTATCGGTCACTGATCCGGCTTGAAGGACCAATGAAAAACTAGGAATCTGATCTTGATGACGAGCATATAGTCCGCGGAGTTACTTTCTTGCTGTGCATTTACACACTAATTTATTAATATAAAAAGTACTCCTTAAGAACTAAGTATTACAATGTGACCTAACCTATCTTAGACATCTTCCATGTGTGTCCGAAGACCTTCGCAAACCATAGGCTGGGGGTATATATCTGTCGGCAACACCGACTGTCACTTTTTTACTTGTCAAAAAATGTTTGAGTCTGAAAATTGAAGCTTTTGAGGTTGTACAGGAATATCTGTGCAAAATTTAGTTTAGGCGATTTTTGTGGTTGCGCTCTAGACCTAAATGAACAATCAGAAAAGTATGAGTATTAAAGAAATTGCTAAGTATAAAAATGAAACCTCGCCAGTTTTCCCACTTCATATGAGCATTTTGTTGCTGTTCTGGAGTCATGGTATAAGTTCTCGAAGACTCATGAACTCCACGTCTTTGAAAATATTGTAAATCGAAAAATTTTCAAATTTATTTTGTTTCCTTTTTCAGCTCAATGCCCAACAACGCTATGTAGAATTTCAACGCTTGGTGGCGTTGCAGTCACGTCAAATCAACAAGGAGCTGATATTCGATCGTCGCCTATATCGCCAACTAATGTTGCAGTCAGAAGTGGGCCCGAATGCCTTGCCATTGGAATCTTTGGATAGGGTGAGTAGAACAAAATCTTTCAATTTGAATTTAAAAATAAATTCTCGTCCTCTATATTTCAGTATAATCGCCTGATCAATGAAATGCTCTACATTTATAATGGAGCCACCATATGTGCCTACCAGCAGCCATTTTTATGCAACTTGCGCTACATACCCGATTTGAAGGAGATTATGTCGAAGTCGCGGGATTGGGATGAGTTGCAGCACACCTGGGTGGAATATCATCGTAAGGCTGGACGAGAAATGCGTGATGGTTATGAGCAGCTGGTGGATGTTATGAATGAGGTGGCGCATGTTAATAGTGAGTAGAAAAATTAGAGAGAGGGAGGGAAGACGAGATAGAGAGAGAGAGAGAGAGTGGGTGTGAGAGTGTAACATGATTATTGATAACTTCTCCCCTTTTCAGATGTCACAAATGGTGGAGAATATTGGTATCTGGCCTATGAATCGAACAACTTCCGTCAAGATGTCGATAATGTTTGGGAACAAATCCGCCCGCTCTACGAAGCTTTGCATGCCTATGTGAGACGTCGTTTGCGTGAATATTACGGACCGGAACGTGTTAATCGTATTGCCCCGATACCTTCACACATTTTGGGTAATATGTTTGGACAGTCATGGTCGAATATTTTGGATATTGTAATACCCTATCCGGGAAAGAAGCTCATCGATGTTACACCACGAATGATAGAGCAGCGTTACACGCCACAATTAATGTTTCAGCTGGCTGAAGAGTTTTTCACTTCGATAAATATGTCGGCGGTGGGACCGGAATTTTATCAAAATTCGTTGATAGAGCAGCCATTGGATCGGCGGGTGTTGTGTGAACCCTCCGCATGGGATTTTTGTAATCGTCATGATTTCAGGGTGAAACTTTGCACGGACATCAATCAGAAGAGTTTGATAAGTGTTCATCATGAAATGGCCCATATTCAGTACTTTTTGCAGTATCGCCATTTGCCTAAGGTTTTCCGGAATGGCGCCAATCCGGGTAAGTTTTTCGGAAGATTTGAAGGAAGAATAAAAAAATAATATTTGTTGTATTTTTCAGCCTTCCATCAAGCGGTAGGCGATGCAATTGGCTTATCGGTCAGCACTCCTCGGCATTTCCAAACTTTGGGGTTACTTCAGCGTTCCGTCGATGAGAGCAGTTACGATATTAATTATCTCTTTACCATGGCCATAGATAAAGTGGCCTTTATGCCCTATGCCTTGGCCTTGGATAACTGGCGTTATGACGTCTTCAGTGGGAATGCTAATAAGCATATGATGAACTGTCACTATTGGAATTTGAGGTGAGTATCCGGTGAGTCACGCCTTATGGGTGACGCTTAAAAATAATTTAAAAAACACGCCTTATGGGTGACCCTTTAAAATAATTTTTAAAAAAATATTTTTTTCTTTGCAGAGAAAAATATGGCGGTATTAAACCACCTGTATTACGTTCGGAGAAAGATTTCGATCCTGGTGCAAAATATCATGTTCCCGCCAATATACCATATATCAAGTAAGTCGTATTATTTGGATTATAAGTTTTATGGACTCAAGTTTTCATCATACTGAAAATAACTAAGCATACCTGATGAACTTTCTATCCTCCACCATGTATGTATAAAATCGATTGTTGCCGGGCAAAAAAGAAGTGTCAAACTACAAACACTCAGGTTGTAATTAGGATAGAATCTTAAACATATCGAACCTGACGTCTGACCTTTGTATGGGGGATTTGTAAAAACTTATAAAGTATATATAATGTATAAAGGGATCGACCAAATTTCCTTATCCATTATCGCGACATTACCGCCCTCTAGTGTGCTAATGGCAATCCTAAACAAGATCATAACTGCACGAAGCTATAATACCCTGACAACATAATTGTATAGGGTATAAAAAATCAAAATTCTAAAATAAAGCCCTGTCGGTGGACCTCCAAAAAATAATCTTGAAGAAGTTTATATTTTGAAGAAATGTGTTTTGGGGCTACCCTCAAAAGTGGACCCGTTTTGATAATTTTAAATAGGCATTGAAATTCGAATCCCAGTCCGCTTTCTCTGTTGAAGGAGAAGCTGACAACGGTCGATGGGACCATCAGGCGTGTTTTGCGGACTGATTGGGACTTGAGTAGGCGTTCTGTGCGTATCATATATGGTGGGCTTTTTGTTACCTGCGCAACTTATGGTGCACCTATATGGTACAGAACTGCCTATTCTGTCTTCGGGCAGAGGAAGCTCCTTTCGTGTATACGGGTCGTCATGTTAGCGTGCTTGTCAGTGTGTCGCACTGTTTCAACAGAGGCGTTGCAGGTGCTGTTTGGCTCAGGCCTTCTGATCTGGTGGATGGGGAGAGTAGGCAGTACGGCACATTCCTTCGGGATTGTGTTGTTGATAGGTGGAGGACAAGGTGGACTAACAGTGACAAAGGGAGGGTGACGTACGAATTTATTCGTGACGCAACGTTCGTAGTGGACCGGCCAGACTTTCGCTTCGGCTTAAGTACTGGTTTCTTACTGACGGGGCATGGCTCTCTCAATGCTTTTCTGCATAAAACAGGCCTGTCCCAGACGGATTTATGTGTGTGCGGGTTGACCGAGGACTGGAAGTATATACTGACGGAATGCTGTTACTATGATAACATTAGAGATTTAGCAAGTATGGGTATATCGAATTGAGGGGAGGGGTGGGATTTCAGTAGGGCACTTGAAGACGATCGGACCTTTAGTTGTTTAAGTAGTTTTGCTCGTGAAGCATTTAGGAGAAGGACGGTACTTAGTGGAGGTGGTCCTCGTACATGGCACCCCTTGCAGTTGGGTTTGGTTGGTTGCACCGGGTGGTGGTGGTGGGTTAGGTGCACCGGGTGGCGGTGCTGGTCTTGTTGCGGTTATCAGCGGTTGTAGGTGGTGTACGTGCTGCCTGCGTGTGTGTTTCGTGGTTTCCACTTCATGTGCTTCACTCGTCCTGTGGATGTAGTGTAGGCTGTCCGTGAGGGCAGTTTTGTTCATTGTTTGTGTTGTCTGATGCCGCCGTCCTTTGGTGCATTTGTGTAGTCCGTGAGGACAGCATGTTAATTGTTTGTGATTTGTGTATTTGTCACTGCTTGTGGCCAGGTTTTTCCTTGCCACTTGCGGTTATCGCCGTTGCTTAGTTTTGTTTTGGGATACCAGCCCGGACGTGTGTCGAACTGGGAGAGGCTCCGGTCTCGAGCCTGAGCGGAAGTTTTCCGTACCGCGGGTGTCAGGTGCCCCTGGATCTGTCGATCCAGCCTGACAGTTGGTGTGGCCCCCTGGGGAGCTTCGTGGGGGTTGTGGTTGCGCCCCTCACCATGGGGGTGAGTGTGCCTTCTGCATGCTCTCCGATTAGTACAGTACTTCGGTGCTGGTGCGCTGGTGGGCGCTTTTCCGCCAGTGGCTCAGCCACTGTGAGGCAGGCCAATAGGCAGGTACTCACATAAAACTCTTCAAGATACTTGTAGAAGTAGAGCCTGCACTATGACGACAAACACCGTGGTCCGCCAGATTGATTCTAAAACCAGTAAGGAAAGTAGTAAAGTCGTTCTGGGCCGATACCCTTCACCACTTTGGGTATATTGTACATATGTATCCTTACAATTGCATGTCAATGTTCCCTCGAAGGGACATACTCATGCCTTTCTGCAACCTATGCCAAATTGAATTTCATTCGGACAGATTTAGAGTCGTCTGCGTACCATGGGACCAATTTATGGAAAACGATGTATAGCAAAATTGATATACGCTATACGGTACGCTGCACTCATTTAATTTAATCTCAATCAGACACCCGTTCGAAATACATGAGGAAGCTATGGCTAAATCTGCACCAATTTCAACAAAACGCACTAACGTCATTCAAGGGCCCACCCCCTCTGGCTACGTCGTTGGAAGCTATATCTAAATCTGAGCCGATTTTTACGATACTAAACATACAGCATTTTATGCTTAATTCATTACACTATGCCAAATTGCCTGCAAATCGAAAGATTTATAGGGACTTTGGTGCACTATTTACCTAAAATCGGACGAATATATATATGGGAGCTATATATAAATCTCAACCGATTTTCACGAAACTTGGCAGACATCATTCTAGGCTCAATTCAGTACGTTGTGCCAAATTTCGTGCAAATTGAAGGATATAGAGGGACATTGGAGCACTATTTGCCTAAAATCGGGCGAAAATATATATGGGAGCTATATCTAAATCTGAACCGATTTTCAGGAAACTTGTCACACATCATTCTAGACCAAATTTATTACGTTGCGCCAAATTCCGTGCCAATCGAAAGATATATAGGGACTTTGGTGCACCATTTACATAAAATCGGACAAAATATATATGGGAGCTATATCTAAATCTGAACCGATTTTCACGAAACTTAACACACATCATTCTAGACTTAATTCAGTACGCTATGCCAAATTTCGTGGAAATCGATAGATATATAAGGACTTTGGTACACCATTTACCTTAAATCGGACGAAAATATATATTGAAGCTATATCCCAATCTGAACCGATTTTCAGGAAACTTAACACACAATATTCTAGACTTAATTCAGTACCCCATGCAAAGTTTCGTGTAAATCGGAAGATATATAGAGGCTTTGGACGAAAATATATATGGGAGCTATATCTAAACCTGAATCGATTTTTCACAATATCAATAGGGTTCATCCTTAGGCCAAATAAGTGACCTATGCCAACATTCATCCAAATCGGATCATAAATGCGACCTGTACTTTGTTTACGATTTAACATGGACAGACAGACAGACGGACGGACATGCATAAATCGACTCAGAAAGTGATTCTATGCATATTCTCAAAAGGAACTATGGGTCTATCTCGTTTTTTTTTTGCCTGTTATAAACATATGCACAAAGACATAATACCCTGTACCACAGTGTGGTGAAGGATATAAAAATCGACGGCTTCGATAGGCCTTCAAATTATATTTTTTAAAAAAATCCACGCCTTAGTTAATGCCTTCAAAAAAATATGCAGTCACTCGCTATATACATGCGGGTGGAATACTCGAATTATGACCTAATTTATCAGCACAGCCCGGTGTATTTTTCAACGGGGCTGATGATTTTCGTCATATAAATCCTACTGACCTTAGAATCGGAGATCTGACACTAGAAGTCAATATGTTAGTCGCCGAACTTAAGTGGGTAAAAGGCTAGAACATCTGAATTAGTGTAAGATCGATACTGGATCGTTGTCGGTAACGATTATATTGCTCTCAAAACCAGTACGGAAGGTGACAGATCCGAAGAGATGCGAGAGTAATTTTAACCGGCAATGCATAGAGCACCAAGATTTCCGTGGAAGTAATTTAAACCACCAAAATGTACGTTGGAGGATATTGAATGTCGCATCAGAAGGGCAAAATCATCTAATACGTTTGGTCCTGATCGAATCCCTATGGTTGTTCTGAGGCAACGGAATGAGATAGTAATAAAGGACATAAGCAAAGTCCTTAATTTGTAACATAGGTTAGTCCCGCTACTGCTGCCAAGTAAGGATGCCAGCAAATATTAGGTTGGGGGGAAAAGAAATACATTAGGCCGGTCGTCAAAATGTCGATTAAATCGGATACATGATCGAAGTTGACCGTCATGTTAGCAGTCGTAACATCGCCTAGTAGCTAAAAATCTACCATAAAACTGTTTTAAACCATTTACATAAAGCTGGATTCAAAAAGAAGCTCGATGGGCCACACTAGGATGGATCGAATTTCCATTTGCGAAGCCTTGGCCAAACGGAATGAGATAGACTCATTTCTTAAATGGATGGTGACTGGATATGAGAAATGGATCACATACGATAACCCTGTGCGAAAACAATCGTGGTAAAAGTTCAGGTGAAGCACCTCAAACGGTGACCAAACTAGAAGTAACGGCCAGGAAAGTTCTGTTATGCATTTGGTGGGTCTGGAAGGGGCTTACCTATTATGAGTTGCTTCCATATGGCGAAACGCTAAATTCTTATCTTTGCTGTTAACAACTGCACCGTTCGAAGATACCTATTGATAGGTCACCACAAAAAATGGCCAACAGGAGAAGTGTCGTGTTCCACCAGGACAACGCTAGGCCACACACATCTACAGTGACTCGGGAGCTTGGTTGGGAAGTTTTAATGCATCCGCCATACAGTCCGGACTTGGCACCAATCGATTATCATATTTTTCTTTAATGATAAAAAAATTGGTATCTATTGTGAAAATCGACTACTAGATTTTTTTTTGCAAATAGAAAGCATGCTTTCTATGAGAGAGGCATTATGAAGTTACCTTTAAAATGGCAACAAATCATACAACAAAACGGTGCATATTTGACCCTAATCGGACATTCCGAAGCATGTTAAATATAGTCCTATAGTTCATATAAAAAGCATGGATTTCTTTTTCCCCAACCTAATAGTTATTTTATACGCCGATCTCAGTTTTGTCGCCAATAGGTAAGACTCTTGAGGCATAACTACTCTTAAGCATTGACGGAAGG